TGTTATCAGCGTTTTAGTGTCAGATAATGTCAAGCAAGTTTTAAATAATTGCACCTTTCCACAGGTTTCCAAAAGTATGCCATTGAAACTTGATTGAACTATTGAATAAAAATTAAAATAATAGAGGGCATAGTGGAAAATTCACATAGAGATAAACACATTTTCATAATTAACAATCTCAATTCAAACATTCTCATACATGTCAGTTTTCTCGGATCAGTTAGGACCTTCCAAATATCCTTCCAGATAAACTTACATAAAAACTTTGCAATCTGGTGATTATTAATTCAACAGAAAATTAATCTTGCAATATTTAATTGGGATCATTTGGCCGATTCCAAGTCGAAAAACCGTCTTATCACATCCAGACAATATTATTGCCAAGTTAGATATGGATTGACTCCAAGCAGTCAACATATTGGACCGAGAGGGGACAAACATAAGGATAAACCCGATGTTTTCAAGAGGCTGTGGAAGTCCTTGGCATTGAAAGGCGCGTCACGTATTGACCAAGAGGCGCCTGGATGCCTCTTTACTCGATCTTAAACGATTTCTGCAGGTCAAATATCTGGGCTATTAAAAACGAGACAGCATTTCATTGTCAGTGTGTCCCAGATATTGGCTCAGATGACATACACAGTTAGTTTTCAAGCGGTAATTTGATATTCCGTAAATGGAAGATGCTCTTGTAAATGGGCAGTAAATTATGGGAAATTGTGATGCTTATCCTCAAAAACTTTTCTTCTAGTCTTTTCGTATTTTCTAGTAAAATTGGGTCAATCAACTACTCAAAATATAGTTAATAGCGATCAGGTAGAGTTTCTAAATTTACAAGTTCAAAGTTGAGGAACTGCGGCATTAAAATGCATCACGTTTCCCACATATACGACGTCGTAACTATTTCAAATGTTAAACTGGATGAAATGCTCCAAGCTATAATTTGCGCCCTGTATATTAAGAACTTGAAATTTACTACGAAAGTTCTGTCATTTGGCAGCAAAGCCACATAAAGTTACATCCTTATAACTGCAAAAGTGTCGAGGACAATGTAATCGATTTTCCAGCCTGATCCAGATTGAACTATCTACCGCCAAGGGACACTCATGGACGTATAAATCCCAAGACACTCTAAAGAAGTTGGCATAGGTTTTTTCGTATGTAAAGTTTTAAAATGCTTCTTACAACTTTCCACCGGTTCTGCAGTGTGTTAAAAAATTACATTGGATGGCGCACGTTGCTTACAGAAGAACTTAGATCCCCTAATCATAATCAAACACATGACTTTTTCGAAGCTTGAATCGGCACAATCGCGGAGTTACAACAATTTTTTTTCTGATAATAATGAATAGCTAGCTACCTAGTCTTCTTTAGTCTGAGAAGAATTCTCTGTGCGCCTTCTATCTTTACAATTTTAAGAATTTTAAAAATTGCAACAAAAACGCAATTTACTTGACAAGTTTTGTTTGTGTCCTGTTCATATGAATGTTCAATCTCATTTTCGAAAACTCTGGCCGCCATTAACCAGTAAACAATTTCGCTGTATGTAATTTCCATAAACCAACTCTATGGATTCAACAACGGTAAATATTTGTTGCAAATAAATTAATTACAGGATCGTACAATAAATCAGATGGTGCTTATAAATTAATAACCGCCGCACCCACATCGATAACATAACTAACACAAAACATAAACAAACACCACGTTCACACAAGTTATGCATATGGGAAAATGCATGTTTTATAGTTGTGTTGAACATGGTTGCGAAATTACAACAACAGAGGTACAACGAATTCACAAACAAAACACAGTACAACATTGACCAGGACTTACTCATCTAAACGACTTTATGGATTAATTTTCCTCGGGGATAATTTTTGGATATGTTTGGCCTCAACCTCACCTGAAACAAACATACAAACTGACATTAATAATGTGCTAATAAAACGGTTATAAAAACTCAATAAACGATGGTATTAAACTGTTAAACAATGAATAAATTCTCAATTTAATATTTAATTTTTCTTCGCAGTCTGTACGGGTTCTTTCCACCCCTCGAAATACATTTATCTACCACAAACGTATCAGAAACAATACTGAATCTAACCTTTAACAGATTTGCTCACACATGAAAATGATATCCATGTACCGTTGCATGTTCTAATTATCAGTGACACAATTTATATTTCATTTTAATGCAGGGATATAAAATATCCAACGTTGCTGAACATGAAAAGGGAATCTGTCCGTTTAATCACTCCGCTCTTTGTGTTCCTTGCACAAAGGAGAGAAAAGATATCTAAAGAGAGCGTTTTTATAAAAATTAAAATTGCGTTCTGTATAAACTACTCATCTTTGATAACGAATGAATAGCGTTTTATCTAGTTTTTCAAGAGGGCCGGGTAATAAATTATGTTAAAAATTATTTGAGAGCGGTACGGTGGCTTTTTCGCTTAAACTCATACTCATACTAGAGCGGTAAACTTTTTTAAATTTAAAAGTATCAGTAACAGTGTGATTTTCGTGATCTCTAATGGAATGAACGTTCCTCTCATTGAAAAATGAGAGCAGATAAACTCACACAAAGATAAGACATAAAACATGACAAGAATAGCGCAACTTAAACTGGCGTTTTTCTAATCTCCGGGGCATTTTGGCCCCAAATAAATCCAGGATTAACATGGGAAAGGACAACTGATGATTTCCCGAAGCGCCGAGAGGTAAGTCCGGAGTCCGGGGCTATGCCAGACTGTAAAGCGGATGGCCCAACAACTGGAATTGCTTGCTCCTTTGCTGCTCTCGAGTCTTTGATAAGGAAGCCTCTGGAGGCAACTTCGTACAATGATTCGCTTAAAGCGTCATTGTCCTATTTCAATTAAAGGGTAAAGAAACTGTAAGCAATTTGAAAAGAAATTGGACCTGTGCACTTAAGAATGTTGCAAAAAGTAGCTTAGTTTTACTTCTTTATGTACATATGCATCATATCATTGATTCTTACACAAACTGATCAATTTTATCTAGTAAATGCCTAAATTATCCTTTTAGGTATTGTAAAGTAACATATATGACGGCAATAAAACATTTTATCCGGAAGTTCAAACTTCTTTAATTAAGCCCCGGATTATAAACCGAAAATTATTGAGATATTTGATAGCACTCAAACTTACTAAAACAACGCCATTATGCTATATTGCGAAGTTTCAGTTGCAATTGCATATTCATCTATTAAATAACGTACTTAATGCCGATTGAGTGAACAGATAAAATGTAAAATCTCCTCTATTTTTGCTACGACTTGGCCGTAAAGGTGAAATAGGCTTATGATTAAAAATGTAAAACAGCCCATAAATTCTCTTTACGTTTGACATTAATATCTTATAATTACTTACCTGAAGCGTAGTGCAAATGCATATTTTATGTATGCCCAAGACTATAAAGTTGGCAGTAAAGTTTAAAAAATTGAAGCTACCATTACTGAATTTGGATTTTACCCTAAAGCCCTAATACTAGTTTGAAAAAAATAATATGTAAACGAGTTAATAATTTAACTTATTTCCATTAAAATTTTACATGTACAGTACTAAGACGCAATTTAGATCTTCATGTAAAGGGCATGGAAAATTTTTGAATATGACTACGGGTGAAATCTTCAGCAAATACAGAAATTCAGCCACCAAAACGATTTTAAATCCGTTGCAGAATGTTAAAACCGGCAGGAGGTAATTGTATATGAAGCAAATGTTTTCCCATTTGATGAGGGAAATAATTCAAACCCCCGGCAATAAATTTCTACTATAAATCTTTTATTTTGCAAGTATTGCATACATTTTTGGAAATGCTAAATGTGCAGTTTATCAGCGCGGAATTATCTATCGAAATGTATTATACAATTAACGACTAGGCTTGTTAGCTTAACAGAAATTGCGCTATCAACTGCATATTTATGAACAAAGCTAATTAATTCGTATATGCGTATTAATTATCATCAAACAACTCTTAACTTCCTCGCTTTAATGAATGTAGAAACTCCAATTAATATGTAAATTTAAAAATTTAAATTTCGCCGAATTTTCCATTCTTTACTTGCAGAAATGGTTTATCCCGAGCGTGCTCGCCTGTTTACCAAATAAAAACCATGCAAATTTCTTTCGCTCGAGCGGCTGTATTCTTTTGTCAGTGGCTAATTTTTAATAGAATATACCTGATGATGTCAAAATGCAGCCTAATTGTCAATATCGGGAGCCGTACATTAAAAAAATTGTAACAGGCAACGACAAGGTGGAAAATTTTGATGAGGGTCCAACTTTATGAGAAAAGAATATTTTCCTGTACAAGAGGCGAAAATCGAAGTTCCGACACTGCTTGAAGTGGCAGTGGCGGGCCTTCGACTTTCGCCTCTTGTACCCTATGCTATTGGGGATGCAATTTAAGGGTTGAAACCGGGTTCTTGTGATTTGCGGCGAATCGTGGCCACCAGCGGAAAATATTCAATGGCAGAATTGTAGATAATACAAAATCTAAATGTTGAACTTAACACTTTTTACATAACTTCGATTTAACCGTCAAAATGGCGAGAAACATATATTTCAGTATTTAATTGTTTTCTCGCACATACCTAAATGATTTGATTTACATGACAATTTGGAAAAGCATGCCCTTTCGGTCCTGAATAAGCATGAACTTTGCTTTTTTCTTCGAACACAAGTGTTCGAGTTATATAAATTTTTCTAAAAAAACTACCATTATCTTCCACGATCAATTATATTGTTGTGTCGAGGTTTTTTTGTATTTTAAAAGTATATTAGTGCCCAAACAACACTAGAAATCCATTGGACATCCAAAGCTTGTTCAAAAGAATGCCGAATGTCCATGGTATCGTTTTCGGCTGTCCATGGGCGTAATAATTTCGACATCCATTGGACATCCGAATTACGGATATTTAAAGGACGTGCAAGCATTGATAGGTGACCAGTGACATGCTAATTTAACGTCAATGTGTACAGTTACTCACATATGTCTTTAGATAATAACATAGAGAAAATTTTATTATTTTATCAAACAAACAACAAAAAAATATATTTTCTCTATGTATAACAAGCAGTAAATTATTCGATTAGATAGATGGATAGATTAGATTAGAGGCATCAGTGTGAGATAATATAGGTGAGGGTTTTAACTAATGATAATCTTACTGCTTTAATGTTAATAATGCTGAGAAGAAAATATAGCATGTACGTTTTTTATAGGTAAACCACTTAGTCAAAATTGGAGAAAATATTCGTTAGGAGTTTCTGAAGCGTTGCTTAACTCAGTTGGTAACCCACAATTTGGCCCGAAAGAACACATTTTTTGGTTTCCACACCAAATCTGCTCTCTGCCAATTTAAGTTTTGGGACTTATTAAATGGTAAGTTCGTTATTTATTCAGTCTTTTTGTAATTTTAGAGTGTAGTTGCCAAGCCTTTATTTAGATCTAATATTTCGCAATGATGCAAATTGCAATATTTCTGTTAATACTAAGCTCTGTAATACTTGTAGCTGCAGCAGTTTGTCAAAATCATCTGGTCACGACGAAAATAATTGAAGGAAAACGTCCAGAACTGGTTAAAGCGAGCGAATGGGCGCGAAAAGTCGGTTATACCCCCACCGGGTTATGGTCGGGTGTCGCACCACAACCACTGTATGTGGTTAAATGCACCTGATTTTTTATTTTATTAATAATTTAAATAAAATATGCTTGTCCTTTAGATGCCTTATAGACGTACATTCATCGCATAACCTCCGATGGATGTAGGATTCTGTGACATTTGCATAAGAAAATGGACGTCAATTGGACATCAGTCGGACAAATTATGAACATCCATTGGACATGCAGATGCACGAAAACCAATGCATTGGCATATGGATGTCCAATGGATTCAATAATGTTGTTTGGGTGGTCATTTTAATAATTGTAATGTCTTCTTCAAAATGGTGGTTTATTTGTCGTTAAACCCCTGAAAATTGCGAAAAACTTAAAAGTCTTTCTGAATCATGATGTTTAAAATGTTCAATGATTTTAAATTTTCTTCATTATTTCTGGTAACAGTGAACTATATTTACTAAATAGTACTAAATAAATAAAGTTGTTTTAATGTAAGTTTATTACAGTTGAAAGCATTTCAGTATAGTAAGTAGCGCAATACATGCCGAAAAGTTTAAATAAATAACCTAAAATATAAAATATTTGCATACACATATTAACGCTGGACTACAACTATGATTAGAAATCTATTTGAATTTTACTCTTATTACCAGTAATAGACCTTCGAAATACAAAAAAACTATTAAACCAATTGTTGGTGAAAGAGAAGGGTAGTTTTTTTGAAAAAAACTCTAAAAATAGTCGTCTTCTGAACTTCAAAAAAGGATGCTTATTCAACACCAAAAAAGATGTACTTTTACAATTTTTTCTGTAAACAAATCGTATATTTCCCGAGAAAAAATTAATAGGAAAAACAGTTTTTCGTTATTTTGAGGTTCTGCCAAAAAGTGTTAAATACAGAAGTTTAAGATTTTTTCATTATCTGCAACTCGACCATTGCACGTTTTTCGTTAGGAGGTCATAAAAAACCGTTTCCATCCCCTAAACTGCATCCCCATTTCACCGTGTCCATTCTTTTCGTGTACAGATATTATTTTTTCTTAAACTGGGAACCTCAACAACAATTTCCCACCTGGTCCTTGCCTGTTATTAATTTTTTTGCAAACAATTTATTTGCACTTGCCTAATCAAAAAAATAAAATAAATAAAACATTCTGCATGGAACATTGTGAGTTTTTCGGGCTTTTAAGCAGTCGTGAAAACGAATTTCTTCCGGACGGTTCGCAAGCAAGTAGCATGGCATCCTCAAAGATACTTCGCTTGAGAGCACTGTCTTGATAACGTAAAGTAATCGTCCGCAACAGTCTAATTATTTCGATAATATATTCGCTTTTGCTTGATAAAATGTAGAAGTTTAAAAACCTTGAACTTTGAGTGCTAAAACAGCAAAACACCCGAGCTGTTGATCTACCCTATACAACTAACCAATTAATGCAAACACTTATCCGGTCACAAAAATAACGCTAATGGATAGAAATACTTTGTTTTACCTACAAACTGACTATTATTGACTGAGCCTAAAAGCTAAGTTTCTTTTTGTTGTGGCGTAGTTCCATATTCGTTAAGATTAACCAGTTCGAGGTATAACATTTTCTTCTAAGACAATAACAATCAATTGTCTAAATCCATACTAATATAATTAATGGCCTTTTGTTGACAGATCATTATAAATTGACCAGGCATCCATCGTAAGGGCTTGACCTACTCCGAAAGAATGAAAGTCAATAGCCCGGAAATGTTATTTAATCAGTGATGTTAAAGTAATTGAATTAATTCAATTTAGTGGATATTTTATGGATGGATGTATCGAGTTTAATCAGGAAAATTTGTAATGGATCAATGCTGAAAATAGATCTATTGTCAAATGATTTCTGCAATATGAGCAAGGCCGGGATCTGACAGTTGACTATTGTTACATGTGCCATAAAGAAGTAAAATGCATTGGAGGAATACAAGGAAATCGCTGACTTCAATGAAAATCATCGCAAAGAAAGCATAGTACTTAGCATTTAAAGGAGTAAGAATAATTTATTGTATTATAAATGAATGCTAATTGTTTAGAAATGGTTAAATGACGAACCATCCATGTGTTTTGATGAAGATTGAACGACAAAGATCAGATTCATCAAGGAGAACATAGGACGGTCTGAATTACTTTAATTCAATTTCTCTGTTTGTTCTATACTATATGTATAATTTATTAAAGACACTTTATGTCCGGATATTCTTAGCTTTCCTACACCATTCATGATTTGTAAGCACGACTTGAACTTGTAAACAATTGTAAACGTTCAAAAGGACATATTTTCGTGCCAATATTTCAGTATTCAAGTGGCGCTTTCCAATTTTTGGACGAAGTGGCCAGAGAATTGTAGTCTAAACCCGATTTTATCAAACATGTTGTATTGTTTGTCTCTAAATTCCTAAAATCGAAAATAGCGCAGATACCAAAAGACGCTCTAATCCAATTAAACCGGCATTTCACGTGCCAAAAGCGCAATATGGCTTAAAATGAAATTTGGTCGATTAATTATTCAGCCGACCATCACTTGCACCAGAGCAACTTAATTTCATGTAACAAGCGATCTGAATATTGCTCGACCGATAAATTTCATTTGTCGCACATTTAGAACAGAGGCAAAGGCAGGCCCGATCAAGATCTGATTGATGTACAGCAAACTGATAGTAATCTGCCAGCAATGCATAAGCTCTCTCAAGCACATTAGAGCATGTGGATAATTAATCAGTCCGAAATTTTGAACAGGTTACAACATGCGGAATGTCGGGAATTGCAATGCTCGCCTCTCGCCCAAAGCAAATTGAATTTCAAATTTAAAACCTGCTTCATTACAAAACATGTAATTTGTTTCCAGAACTTCATTTGTTGCAGCTACTTCACTGCAGCGTAACACGTCCCAGAGAATTTAATGAATTGCTCCAATTTAACCGAATATTTAAACATCATTAGCTAGTTTATAAGAATATTTTTGCTGTACAAAATTGTCCTTTCAACATAATCCCATATCTGTTGGATGTGGTTGTGAGGTTTTCAAATTAAATTTGTATGTCAGGATCGACTCTGGTACTCAATTGCTACTGTTAATTATATACATGCGTAGAAAATAGAATTCGCTCTTAACGTAATTGAACTACTAAATATGACCATGAAGAAAATTTAATAATCAGCATGAGGAGAATAAAAGGGATTTCAAAATAAAGCCCCCACATTTTGAAATGAAATCGACCTAAAATGAAGAAAATAATAATAAAACAACATTAGCATTACATGAGAAGCCATCACCATAATTCACATATAAACGATATAAAGTGATCACATAGATAACGAAATCAGCATACGATTTGGCAAAGGTGAAAAATTAACATCGACTAAATAAACGTGCAAATAAAGTAAAAATGCATTTAAAAAATAAGCCACAGCTAAATTGTAATTATAAATAACAGATATGGATAAAAAGCAGCAGTGAAATTAATGATCGTTTTATTGGGTATTTCACTAAAACTCCTAATAATATTTTAATCATAAAGCATCAAAAAACTGAAATTCAACATTCACACACACCTGTATTGAACTTGAAGCTTTTTTAATTTAAAATTTATAATTTCAATGTGAGGAAGATTTATTTTCTTGTTATTGCTTCATTATGAATATGACATGCTCACAAATATCTGTTTCCGATCGACATTGTTTTTGCGCCAAGCATTTGGATCACTTTTGGGATTCAAAATGCATTTTTTCAGTATAATTCTGTTGACCTCATTCTCCTAGTGTGCTCTATCCTCTTACTAATATTTATGACTAATGATTAGAGCCAGTTAATTAAAATTATTGCAGTTTTTCATTAAAACTTTCCCGTGGTAAATCTTCAAACTATCTCATAAATTAAAAGGGCGGTAAAGGATTAATTAATCCTATTTCCGACTGCATATATGTATAATTCGTGCACCAGACACTAATAATTAATTATCCAGTAGAACATTAATATTCTTGATGGTGCTTGGCTGACAGATCACTATCAGTGGGTTAGACATCAATCGAATCTTAAACGCCATGCTCCATCTGCTGCTCTTGCTGGATGACAATGCATCTTGTTGGTAAAAGCAGGCAATTTCAATTTTTCACCGCCGTTCAAAAACATTTTGCAGTGCCCACTTTCTGACTTGTTTTAGCGTTTCACAAGTCCACATGCTAAAGGAAAATATTGCCCCAAAACCGTCTAAAACTTATTTCCGACTAAACAAACATTGGTTCAATTTGGTTACCAGCTAGTAGAATTTAAAATTCATATTTTATGCATTAAATCGAACGAAAATTCGAGGTAATCGGATCGATCGTGGCCGATGACATACGTAAAGTGTTTGTTCTTAGACGCCCCCATTCACCTAGAGTGCAAACATCGCGAAAACCTAAAGTTATGGATGACATCAACGTGGTGATGCATACATATTTTGGGAAGAGAATTTCCATCGAATTCGTTCGATGAAGAATAATGAAGTATGGTGAATAAATGCAGCCTTTAAACCGCGCCGAAGGAGTTCTGGAAAATGGGAACAGATGTTTCCACCCGGTTTTTGAAAGGTAATTTAAAAGCAGGAGACAGATTTGCAAGTGTATTGATTAAATTGGGAATACCGAAATATAGTGCATTATGCAATAAGTTGTATGAAGAATTGCTCCGAGGATTTTAGCTTACTTTGAATAAGGTGTATTTTAAAGTTCATTTTTTCAGTGGAGTGAAGTGAAAAATCAGATGCACAACGTTCCATTATTTTAGATTATTTACTTCATTCTTGTTCTATTTGCACGTAGAATAAGTTTACTAGAGGTATAAAAGTTCACAGTGTTCATAGCGATATTTCATAATTATTGCCGCAAGTGTGAGGTTTCACTGCGATTAAATGACAAACTATACTAATATACCCGTCACTAAAATCAAAGTTCGCATTGTTTCACTTAGCTAACGTAAATAAATTGAACTTCAATAGCAACTCGACAAAAAGTGCATCCCCAGTTTGTGGTATCAGCATAAATTGAAGCGCAAATTTGCATTTTTGGTATAAATTCAGATTTATCTGCAGAAATCAACTCAACTGGGTTTACTAAATCGAACGAAAACGAAGTTCCAATTTAAAACATTGCCACTAATATTTTGTACTTATCCGTTCTTCTGTAAAAGTGGCTTCCACTTTAGCTGAGTAAATTGAGCCGCGTGAGTAACTTGTAAGCAATTGGTTGTGTGAGTAGTGACGTTTTTCACCTCAGTAGGGGTAGTTTGCACTATAATAAAAGCGAATTTGTTATGAAGTTTTTTGGGCAACAAAATATCTGTTTCCATGAAT